ATTACCTCTTTAGCAGGAGGTGAGTGGTATGTTTCACCTTCAGTCCTCTAGACTTGCAGTTTATCATTGCACCAGAGTTCTAAAGTCTTTTAAATTGTTTTTCTTTGTAATGTTATATAAATTTTTCTCCTAATTTTGCTTTCTTAACTATTTATCAAGTCATTAAAGGTCTTCCCAGTTTCTTCTGAAACTGTCTATTTTGTCATTTCTTATTGCACTCTAATATTCCATTATCTTCTTCTACCATAATTCATTTAGCCATTCCCCAGTAGATGGGCACCCCCTTCTTTTCCATTTTTTTTGGCTACTAAGAAAAACCTATTATATATATTTTTGCACGTATGCATCCTTTTCATATATGAGACCTTCTTTCTGGTTTAAAAGTAAGTGAACTGAAGCTCTGGTTTGACATGTATGCTTAATAAATAAAAATAAACCCCAAGCAACTAGTGCAATGACTTGTACATAGTAATGTTTTAATAAGTATTTGTTAATTGATCTTTACTTATACTTCTTGAATAATTTAATTTTTGTTTAATGTTCCCCATATTCTTATTTTTTCATTTCATATCATTGCTAGAAATAATATAAACACTAATAACTCTCCAGGATTGATCTATGGGGATTTTTAAAAACATTCATTGTATGTCTCTCTTCAACACCCTATGTGCCCTGGCACATACACTTATCCAAAGATGCCCCACAGAGAACTGGTGTTAGACATTCTGTTGCCCTGTGCAAATGTCGTCTCCCATACAATAAACATGTTTCCTAGGCTTACATATCCTTGGCTAATCTGAGGAAGGAGCTGTAATCATCTGTCCCTTGAGAAGGCTATGCTAGTTGCCTGAGATGAGGAAAATACATAATGACCACTTTACTCAATAATTGCAATATGTTTTATTATCATTGATACAAAAATTTAATAAGCCATATCCTAGCTGATTTATGAATTTTTCTTAATTTACAATGTCTTCAGGATTTGCATGCTTTTTTTTCCCTGTATTCTCCACTCATCTCTTCTAAAGAAAAAAAAAAAGGTTTGCTGTATTTAGGTATTAAATGACATTTCCTTTCTCTCAAGCAACATAATCAGACTGTCAGAAATGATACTTTCTTCCTAGTTGATTGATAATCAGAGCTCTAAATGTGATGGTGGCAAATGTTTGTTAGATAAATGACTAATTTGAGGTTTATTTAAAACTGTTTTAATTTTACATAGATTCATTTTCCTTGCTAATTAAGTTCAATTATTTATTATTATTTGTTGTACATTATTTGTATTTTTGTTTTGTTTTTCAATTGAGACTTATGGTTTGGGGAACTTACACTATGATAATTTCCTCCACTGTTGCACGTTGGCACCTCATTTAGTCTTAGAGAATTTCCTGGGACACTGAGAGATTAATGTGACCCATGGTCACATAGCTACAAAGTTTAAGAAGAACTTGGATTAGGTTTTTTGATCCCAGTGTCACCCTTTGAACATTATGCGACATACTCTGTCATGATATTTATTGTATTGTAGATTTTCTCTCCCTTGATGATTTTTCAGCCAGCCAGTTCAACATTCCAATTTATGAGATTAAAAATTTAGATTCAGTTTTTCAGTCATTTTATTAATCATGTCCAACTCTTCATGACTCCACTTGGGGCTTTCTTGGAAAAGATACTAGATTGGTGTGCCATTTCCTTCTCCAGCTCATTTTACAGATGAAGAAACTAAGGCAAACAGGGTTAATTGAATTGCCCACGGTCACACAGCTAGTAAGTGTCTAAGGCCAGATTTGAACTCAGGAAGATGAGTCTTCCTGACTCCAGCTATTTTCTCCACTGTGCCACCTAGATGCCTCTCAGATTTAGATAACATCAATTAAATCTGATTATACTTTCTCAATTTAAAGAGTTAAATAAAAATAAACAAAGTAGTTCATGCACATGTAAAACAAAACACTTTTTAAGCATCCTTTAGCCACAGACTATTGAATGTGTGTAGGGAAAACAATGCCATTATGCCAAAAACAAGACTTAGAATTATTCATAACTGTTTCTGGTTCAATTAAATATCTTTATATATTTTTATTTACATTTATGTCCATGTTCTGATTCTGCTTGTACACCAAAGAAATGTATAGTTAACAATCTTATGAAGCTATGACGTATGGAGCTGGAAAGGGGACCTTAGAAATCATGCAGTTCAAATCATCATTTCCAGGTGAGGAAGCTGAAGCCCTGACTTGCCCAAGCTCACACAGGTGATCTGGAGTAGTGTCAAAGTTTAACCTTGAGTCCTCTTGTCTCCAGATTTAGTATTCTTTCCACTATACAATATTGCTCTCTAGCTAGTTATATTTCTGATTAGACCCTCAATTACATGAGTAAGACAGAAAATAGTATATTCCAGTAGCACTTTAAACTATGAATATTTCTCTGTCACCTTGAAACCCTTACTGATTGAGCACTAGTTGTCATAGAAGCCCTGTCTTCATTTTCTTATATATAAATTTATTTTCCTATGAACTTATCCAGCAGGTCAAACATCAGAGAATATATGTGACTGGAAGATCAGATATATTTAAAAGTCATACAGAATGCAACTACTTATGAATGTTACAGTATGGTTTGCCATAACTGGCCTATGATTTTTAATTAATTGAAAGTAGCAACAAAGATATAGTTTTGAACCTCAGTTTGCTAGTATAAGACAGAAAACATTTTGACAATCTGTCCATTTTCAGTACAAGACATCTACTTTGAAGGTGCATCATAATTTGCCCTCGCTATACTTACCAGAATCATCTCATAAGAGATTTAGTCTTAACAAATATGTCTGAGGTATGTTGATTATTGCCACTAAATATTAAAATTTTATATTCGATTGTAGAGATTATTGTGAGACACAAAGAAGCCAAGTTTTAATAACTTGAGATTTTCTAAAGCATATTAACTCAAACATCCCTAATTTATTTCTTTTTATCTTTGATGATGCTAGAAGTTTGTAGTGAGATGAACTCTGGAGGCAATATAACTTAAAGCAGAATTGACTTCTGATTTTAGAAAGAAAAAACAAGTTATGTAGTACAAGCTTTTCTGGGAACCAGGAGTGCCACTTGCTGCTTCTAAGAGTGTGAAATGAAGTCTGGATTTCCCCAGAACTCATTCACTTACAGGCTATTTTTACATGCATATTCACAAATGTGTGCATGCACACATGGACTTCTATAAATGTTCTTAAGCTTCACAAAATTGTACATTGAGTTCTTTTTCTTATCTCGTGAAGTAAGACCTTTGTCGTCAGTTACATTTTCATGTAAAATATATTCAATCACTTTTCAATAGGACTTCCTCTAGTAAATTTGATAAATTATTTTCTTACTAAGAATCAGTTATGCTAATTCTTCCAAGTCAAGTCAACACATCTCAAAGTATCTTGCAACCCAAGTTATAGATATATTAGGTAGCATATCAGTTGTAATAAGAACTATCTTCATTGCTTCTTTCTTTACTTTGTACATTCGTCCCTTCCTTCCTTCCATTTTTGATTAGTGAAAACTCGTGTCAGCATTCCTATAGCTGCCCGTTGTTTCATTTTGTGTCATAATATATCATATTTTACTCAAATTTAGATGATCTTATAGAATATTGCCTGTAGATCACAGTCATGTGATATTGTGTTTTTAATTCTATTATACATTCCTATTATTTATATCATATTATTATATTATTACTTTTCTATTTGTACCCATATATTAATCATCAGTTAGGGTACTTTTTAGTCTTAGCTTGCTCTTTTCATGCTTTTGTTTATTGTTCTTCACGTAGGTGATCTCAGTGTAACTGCTGACCAGCAGTGATGCTTCCATGTGTTAATTTTCCAAGTAAACTCCAAATATGTGGATTTTTGGAGTAACCTAGATTCCAGTTCTTTGAGACTGTCCCATCTTCAGGCCTGTTTCTTGTTATCCAGACCTGCTTTTACATAATTTCTATGTGAATCTTACTATGGGATATGCCCTTATTTCCATGCATGTCTGAACCATTGATATTTCATTTTAACCTGTACCTGTGATCGAATATTTTAGAAAGAATGTAACATTCACAAAACAATATGCATTTGACTATTTGGTGGCATTTGGTACATGCTAGTATGTGGAAGGATTGTTAGATTTAGAGTCCTAGGACCTAGGTTCAAATCCCAGTTTTTCTACTTACTGGTTGTGTGACCCTGGGCAAGTCATTAAAATTGTCTCAGCCTCAGTTTTTTTCATGAAAATGAAGGAAATATAAAATAAAGGGGTTGGTCTAGACAACTTCTGAGGTCTCTTCCAGCTCTAAATCTTTGATCTTATTTGTTGTTTGATTGTTTCCCTGCTGCTTTTTGAGTTATACTAGATATCCTTAGATTTAACTATCTCATCTTGTTTACTCATGGAAGCAATTGAAGGGTTAACATTTTATTCCTCTTCTATAAGGTCTTACATTTTGCTTTCTGTTACAAATTTACCGACAAGTGACATCCACAGGAAAACAGTGGCCGGTCACACAGATACTCAGCCAAACTTTTTTTTTAATCGATGTAAATCTCCTGTGCCGTTTAAATGTCGGAACTAAATTTACCAAACTTGGCAGATATGTAAAGCTGAACAGGACTGCCAAGTGTTCCCAGTTTCAAGCAGAGATAGTTCTAACAGTTCCTGAAATACTTGTAGGAGGCACCTGGTGGTAATTGCAGTTTCACAATTCTTCCCAAGCGCCTACCTTGCTATCTGGCATCTCTGCACACAGATGATTATTACAGTGATGATAAAGTGTCAGAATAGAACAGTCCCAAAATAAAGCTCAGCCCCCAGAAGATAAACACATTCCCACAAAATATCTCCACTGGAGAACCCTTAGGAATCAGATGGAGGTTCTTGACATCACATCCCAGCTGGTTATAACAAATATATTAACACACACCCACAGAGCTTCTTTAATTTTTTTTTTTTAATTTTGACCAGGGGTTGTTGTCTGAGATTCTGCGTAAGGAAGAAGACCCTAGGACAGCCTCCCAATCTCTGTTGGTAAACCTGAGGGCCATGCAAAATTTCCTCAATCTGCCAGAAGTCGAGAGGGATCGTATCTATCAGGATGAGAGAGAGAGGAGCATGAACCCCAATGTGAGCATGGTATCTTCGGCCTCCAGCAGTCCAAGCTCCTCCAGAACCCCCCAGGTAAGATCCTACTCCCATTATGCTCTTTCATCTTTCCTAGTTGACAGCTTTCTGGCACCAGTAATGCATTTCACTCCTAAAATATGGGGACATGATGAGGCATAGGTTACCATAATTCACTGAATAAATCAATATTTTAATTGGATGAACACAGGTGTATAACAACAATGATTATGCAGTGATGTAATACTTCCTTTCCTTTAGAGGGTTCCTTTAAGATAGAGTTCACTATTCCAACCTCTGTCTTACGTTCTTTTCCCTGACATAGCTGTGAAAGAGGAAGGAAAATAGAGAGGAATACTAGATAGTTGTAGCTCAAAATAATTGGGAATTTTACACAGTGCAATTCAATGATGATCTTCCCTAAGCACAGGAAAAGTTAATTTTGTGAGTCAGGAAGGTAACTATTTGTTATTACTTGAGATTACCTTCTTAGGTTGGCCCATCTATAGGATTCTGTAAGCTTCAGTGACTCATTCATCTTTCTACCCAAAATATATCTTTGTCAATACTATTCTCTGTGAGAACCTTCCAACAAAAATCTGCTTTTGGAAGAAGTCATGTGTGCTCACCAAGGTCAAGGCAATTGCAGAAGTCTGAGGTGAAAGTTCTAATAGAGATCTGAGCCTTTTCCCTCCCATTTCCTACTTTTTTTAGTAATCACATGGCATAGCCATCTTGATTTAGGGTTTCTACGGCATCTATATCATAGGTAAGTTATAATTGTTAAATTGCTTTATGTCACATGGTTTTTGCTCAGTTTTCAAATCTGATTCTGTTTATTAATACTCTAGTTATTGATGGAGCATCCTCTGAGCTAGTTAGGCACAAAGTCAGGCTTTTATTTTATTAAAAATGTTTAAGTTTGTTCAATAACATCTACATCTTGGCATTTTAATATAGTTTACAATGTCTGCACTCTACAAAGATTATGGAACCCTCTATTTAGAGCTGGATTAGGGGACGTCTAGTCTAACAACCTCATTCCACATATAAGGAAACTCAACTTCCAGGAGTTTGTGATTTGCCCAATGTCATACAGCTAATAACTATCAGAAGTGGTATCTGAACCCAGGTCCTCTGACTGCTGCTGTGTTCTGTCATCAATCAATCAACATTAATTAAGCACACACTGTGCCAGATACTGTGCTAAGTGCTGGGGATACAAAAAGAAGCAAAAAACAGCCCCTGCCCTCAAGGAGCCTCCCTTAATGAGGGAAACAATATGAAATATTAAATATATATGTGTGTGTATATGTATACATACACACATATATATGTATGTATGTATGTGTGTATATACACACACACACACACACACACATATATATGTATATATGTATGTATGTATGTATGTATACAAGCAAGCTATATACAAGATAAATAGGAAACCATTAACAGAGGGAAGTCCCCGGAATTAAGAGGGGTTGAAGAAGGTGTCCTGTAGAAAGTGAGATTTTGTTTGGGACTTAAAGAAAGCTATAGAGGTCGGTAGGCAGAGCAGAGGAGGAAGAGTGTTGCAGATGGAGTGTCTTGTTTGTGGAACAACCAGGAGGCCAGTGTCACTGGATACAATGTCACTGAATTAGGGAGTAAGAAGTAAGGAGACTAGAAAGGTAGGAGGGGGCTAGGTTATGAAGGATTCTGAATGCCAAATAGAGCATTTTATATTTGCTCCTGAGGCAATAGGGAGCCACTGGAGTTTATTGGGTGGGGGGGGGTGACATGATCAGACTTGTGTTTTAGGAAAATCACTTTAGTGGATGAATGGAGAATGTATTGCAGCGGAGAGAGACTTGAGGCAGGCAGATCCACTCACAGGCTATTGCAATAATCTAGGTTTGAGGTGATGAGGGCCTGCACCAGAGTGGTGGCAGCATCAGAGGAAAGAAGGGAAGTATTTGATAGATGTTGCAGAGGTAAAATTGACAGGCCTTGGCCACAGCTTGGATATGGAGGATGAGAAATAGTGAGAGATCCGGGAGCCTGAGGGACTGGGAAGATGATGTTTCCCTCTATAGTAATAGGGAAAGTAGGAGGCAGGAAGGGTTTGGGGGGAAAGATAATGAGTTCTGTTTTGGACGTATTGAGTTTAAGATGTTTACTGGATATCCAGTTCAAGATCTCTGAAAGGCAGCTGGAGATGTTAGATTGGAGGTCAGCAGAGAAATTGGGGCAGGAAAAGTAGATTTGAGACTCAATCCATGGGAACTGATGGTATAGAGGGAGAAGAGAAGAGGATAGAGAACAGAACTCTGAGAGACACCTAAGGTTAGAGGGTATGATCTGAAGGAGGATCCAGACAGAGGAAGAGGTGAGATAGGTAAGAGGAAAACCAGGAGCGTTGGTGTCCTGAAAACTTGGAGAGAAGAGAGTATTAAGATAGAGAAAATGATTAGCACTGTCAAGGTTGCAGAGAGGTCAAAGAGAATGAGGATTGAGAAAAGGCCATTGATTTGGCCATTAAGAGGTCATTAGTAACTTTGGAGAGAAGTTTTGGTAGAATAAGTTCGGAAGTCAGATTATAAGGAGGTAAGAAGAGAGAGTGGGGAGGGAAAATGGGGACAGCTGTTGTAGATGGCCTTTTTAAGGAGCATAGCTAAAAAGTGAAGAAAAGATGATAGCAGGGATGAAAGGATCAAGTGAGGGCTTTTTCAGGATAGACATGGGCATATTGTAGGTAGTAGGAAATGATCCAGTAGACGGGGCAACATTGAAAATAAGTGACCAAGTAAGGTTGATGGAGGCAGTCTGTTGGAGATGGGACAAAATGGGAGCACCTGAAGAAGCAGAGCATTTGTCCTTGATAAGGAGCATGGCCACTTCATCCCTTGAGACAGAGATGAAGGAAGAGAGAGTTCCAGAAGGTATTTGAGTGATAGGTGAGAAAGAGGAAAAAGAGAAAGCTCATAGTAAATGGCCTCAATTTTTTTCTGTAAAATATGAGTCAAAGTTCTCAGCATTGCTAATATCAGGATGTTTGCACCTTAGTTAATTATAACTTTTGGTTTTCATGTACAAAAAGATGATTTGAACAAAGGATTCCCATTCTTGATTGCTTTGGAGATGTGTTGCCTGGCATTCGTTTGCATTTTTTGACCTAGTTATTAATTGGAAGAGTTCTCAATTTTTACTGCATTTATTCACTAATACACAGACTCACTATAAACAAATACAGTGTTTTATAAGAAAGTACAATCATATTTTCTTCATTCAGTTATTACAGTGCTTTCCTTTTATTTATTAATATTTTTAACCACATCACTGGTTTGATTATTTTGTATTTACTCTTTTACAGTAATTTTCTAACAGAAATGTATTCTAGGAACATTGTTGAAGACATAGTATCTTTCAAGCGTAAAGCTTTCTGTACTTCCTTAAGTGGAAATAGTTATTTGCTTCCTCCACACAGTTGAAAATTCTAGTTAGAAAATTCCTAGACATAAGTATCCTTTGGAGACCAATTTAATTTCACTGGTTTCTGAGCACTTTTGAAAATAATTTTGACTATCTAAAAGTGTTGTATGAATATAGTCAAACACTATTTGATCATTCTCTTGATACTTTTAATGTCTGAATAAAAGGTGAATAATTATGCTTTCAAAATATTTATACCATTGTCTATTCAGAATAGAATGAAAACTTAGCTTCCACTCTGGAGTGACGGCAAATGGCCTAGAGAAATCACCTTATTAGCATATTTTGAGTCACATTTGCAGAAATGTCCTTTCTATCTCTAAAGCCATGAACCTGTGAGCTTAAGGGTAAGATTTTTTCTTATTATGAAGATGTAGATGGAGAAATCTTTTGGTCTGCCCTTAGGAGGCAGATAGGCTTTTCAATCAGAAAAGAGGAAGTCAAGAGTCATTGGAGCTTTATGAGGGGGTATACTGGACATGATAGATGTCATTCCTGATTAGAAGGTACCACAGAGTTGACAGGGAGGTTGAGGAAAAGGAAATGAATGTAGGACTTGTTGAAAAAATTATATGAGGAAATAGATTTAGTTTATTATTAAAAAGACAAAGGAAGTGAGTTAGACCATTGGTGGTATGGATAAAGTCAGCATTTTCTAATCTAAGTAACTTCCATTGTTTGGCATCAGTTTATGAAATTGTTTAACAGAGATCTCATGGAGGTAAAGGAAGGCATTGATAATGATAATTGTTAATTGCCAGGGCCAGCTTCAAGAAGCCATTATAGGCATTCTCAGGTGGATGTCTCAGTGACCCCCCTAAAAAATCTTTTGTACTTTACATGTTCCTCTAAATTTGTAAATAATCCTATACCATATATCCTTCCAGGCCTAGGCACAGTCCAAACCAATGGATAATTATTCAGTAGGCAGTATAGCAGATTGAAAATGTGAGATACTCCTTTTTTTCCTGTGGTAGGGGAATCACCAAGATGGTTAGGGGTTCTGTGGAGGGAGAGTAGGCTTCCTTCCACAAAGAAAACCCAAGTTTAGATGGTATCTATTATCAGTTCACCAGCCCAGGTCATTGAATATAATTTGTTGCTCAACATGTTAGCCACTGATAGTAGTTCTAAGAAGGCAACAGTTGAGGGTTGTGAAGCCCCCAGCTTGTTGTCACTCCTCATCAAAGCCTTACTGTGAAGGACCTTTATTGAAATGAGAAGCAAAATCTGTATTTGATCTTGTGGATCAAATACAAACATTTTAGGGTTATGCCAGTCCTGAGGAGCACAGATACCTTCTGTATTGTCCTTCATTTGTCTCTGAAGCTGATGGGAAATCATTCGATTAAAACGAGCATGACAGAATACATAAAATCACAATATGAGTTTAAGAAAATGAAAACGGCATGTCAAAGGCATTCTGAAGCCTGGTTTTATGAAATGAAATTTTGTTTCATTTCCACTGATTTCCTAGGTGAAATTAGGTGACTGTCTGGGTAGCATAATGATGATAATGATGAGAAACCATACATACTCAAATGACATACATATAGCTTTAATAAAGAATGAGAGAGACTCAGGGGAGTGCATTAAATTGAGTAATAATTTATTATTTAGAGACCTCTTCCCATTTACTCATTTTTTATGGGAGAATTGGTTCTTCCTTCAAGGTTTGCCATTTTTAGGAGGAAAAGGAGTAACTCAATATGGGTTTTATAGTTTAGTTTTCCAATCAGACTTTAATGATTGCTGATAGCTTAGTTTAGTGCCCAGGCTACCTGTCTTACCTGTGAACCATTCAGTAGACAATGAGTGAGAGGGAGAGTACAATGTTGACAGGGCCCTGAACGTCCTATAGGAATGCACTGCAATTATTTCCAATCACAATTAACCTGATTAGAATAATGGACAGGAAGTGTCCCTCTGTAGCTAATGCAGTTTGGCATCAGCTGACTGAAATCCTTTGATAATTTCTGCACAGATGGCTGGGCTGAAAGCAGCACTTTTTTAATTATTATTTTCATGGTCTCTTGGTAGGCCAAAACCTCGACACCGACAACAGACCTCCCCATTAAGGTGGAAGGCGCCAACGTCAACATCACAGCTGCCATTTATGACGAGATCCAACAGGAGATGAAAAGGGCCAAGGTGTCTCAAGCCCTGTTTGCCAAAGTGGCTGCCAATAAAAGTCAGGTGAGTGGTTTTTAAAAGAGCAAATGCTAGGGCTGGAATTAGACCTTTTTCCTCCTCCCACCAATAAAAATACATCTGTTCCTATAATAATAATAACAATAATAATCCCCAGGGAATCTGTCATGTTATGCCTTTTGTCTTCAGTGTGGCTTACATTATGGTTTGCTTTTACTTTCAACAGAAGACAAAACAGAGTCCAATTTATAATCCAGATTTAAATATTATATCTATATTTGCATGAGTGTATTAAATATACATATATGTAAACTTTTGTTATATATGCATAATATATAATGGAGAATGTAGGGCTACCTTTTGTCATATCTATATATATGTGTATGACATATAGATGACATGCCTTGTCATATACTATATGTAAGCATATGTGTATATGCATATGCCATTTGTCATGTAAATATATGTATACATATATATGACAAAAGGCAGCCCTGCATTTTTTATCCTTTCCAAATTCTCAGATTTGCTCTTCTTCATGTATTTAAACTAAATCTTGAATGAACAAAACAGCATACTTATAAGATTATAGCCAGGTAACATCCCCTCCTTCCTTATTCCCAGCGGAGGAATGACTTACTTTGTTATAATAACCACTTCTCACAAGCCCTAGAGACACCTTGGGATGTCAGGTGTTTCTTTTATGTGTAGTTTTTTTCCATGCAGAAAACATACATGGGGGAGTCCAGAGTAAGTGCTAAAATCCTTAAAGGGAAAAAAATAGCTTATCCAGTAACATTTTTCAGAGTATGGGAAGTGTGGTGAAAGTGGTACTCTAGGGAAAAGGATAGACAGCTGCTTAGTTTTTTGTTGGGTTTTTTTTGTGTGTGTAATTTTTGATGCAGCTCTAGTTGATAGGATATTATCTGTCTAAACTTGTTTAAAGGGGTAGCCTCTGACCCATCCCAGGATCAGTAATATTTAAGATTATGTTTGCTTATGATGGAGGCACTTCTGAAAGATGTATCTTGGAGTAAACACAATTTGATGAAAGCGTATGCCTGAGTCAGGACACTCTTTGTGCTTCAGTTCTTGGCTCTGAGTCTTTCTCTGACCTCGAATGAATAACAGGCCTCTCTAGTCTCCCATTTATTCAGTAGTGGCGTGGAGTTTGTCGACTGCCCTGTCTTTAGTTGGAGACAAAAGCAGTTTATTGAATATTTTTTAGTCAAGAAAGAAGATAATTTAGATTCAATAAGAATATATAACCAGAAACACAAAACTGAAGGAAAACTAACTAAGACATTACAAATAACAACATACTTATAGGACAAGCTTTCTCACATTGTTTTGAGAGTAATATGATATGATTTAGTTTTCAGGTATAATATAGAGGAAGAAATATTAATGGTGTTGATTGAAAAAAAGTAATTTGATTGTGCCAACTCTACATTCTAGTTAGTATTCTCTTAAGATGTTTAGTCTTATCATTGAAATCCATGAATTATAACTTATAAAACATGAAGTCCAGAAATATTATGAAATACATGAAAAGAAAATGCTATCCAAACCTCTTAAGCAGTTAAATGCATAAAATCCCAAGTACCACATGGCAAACTATAATGAGAGTTGGGGCTGCTAAATGAATAAAGCTGTTAAATGCATAATGCCACTTGGCAAAACTACTGTGTGTTTAATGGTTTTCCACTATGTAATAAATGACATATGTGGTCAATGTGCAGTGTGGATAAAAACTACACAATTGATTTTGCAAACGTGTGCCTTATTCTCCACTTCATGTAAATATCAGCATTTTACATAGTTCTCTGAATGCACATTTTTATAAGGAACCTTCAAGAATAACCAAGGACCACAGTCTGTGAAGCTTACTCAGGATGTAGACAATCTTCCTGTGGATTTTATACTCTGAGCCCTGGAAATAAGGAGTCACAAAACCACCCAAAATAATTTCGATAGCTCAGTGATTCTGGTGTCTACCAATTAGTGAAATTTCAGCTTTGCCACTAATTGCTATTTTCCATTAAGAATTAAGGTAGCAACTTTCTTGGAATTTGGGAGAAAAAGACAGTTTCTAGATTTTACTCTGAGTACAAATGAAAGGAAGCTACATTAAAGCAAAGAGGTGTGAAGATACTTTTTCGTGGGGATACCTTTTTAAATTCTCATTTAGGAATTGGAGCCCTAGCACCAATTTCTGAAGATGGTAAGTGGTCAAACTTTTTTAAACAAGATGATACTTTGCAAAATGAACCCAATTTATATTGACGGTTGATGAAAATTGTTTACTCTTATATTTTATTTTTGCTGTTTAGTCATTTTCAGTCACATTTGACTCTTTGTGATCCCATTTGGAATTTTCTTGGCAAAGATACTAGAGTGGTTTGCCATTTACTTCTCCTGCTCATTTTATAAATGGGAAACTAAGGCAGAGTTATGTGACTTGCCCAGGGTCACACAACTGGTAAGTGTCTGAGGCCAGATTTGAATTCACAAGATTGAGTCTTCCTGACTCCAGACTCGGCACTCTATCCACTGTGCCACCTACCTGCCCCTTTATGTTTTATACTTACTCATAAAGTATTGAGCTTTTCCTAAATGAGTTTGGTGAAAACCCAAACACAGTTCATTAAAGGAATCTGTGCCTTGCACAATATATTCTCTGACTTAATTTCTTTTGCTTGTATTATATATCTGATCACTGCAAAACAACATGTTGAATGCCACAGCTAGTAGTTAAGCAGGCCATTATATAGTGAAACTTAAGGGATCTCAACTAGTTTGTCCTGACTTTATGTAAAACTCAGTAAGTGTTTAAGTAGCTAGCATCTATATGGAATTTTAAGGTTTGCAAAGCACTTAATATATGTTCTTATTTGAATCTCAGTTGTTGTGACTATAAATCCCATGCATGGCACTAGATGTTGTCCCTGCTTTCAAGGAGTTTAATTCTACTGGGAGTGGGGGAATGTGTTCTTTCCTTTTAATGATGTGAGCTTGGAGTGTGAAAATAAATGAAGATGAGATAGGCCATGTCATCTTTTCACAAGTTGACTCGGTCCTGTCCCAAAAGTCAGTGGCAGAGAAGCCCTGGATTTGTAGGTGCATGACTCAGTTTCAGATTATCAGTTCACATGCCAACTTACGTTGCCTCTCTGTGCAACATCACCATTTATACTCAGGTTCATGAGGTACAGGGTTGGTTGTAAAGGTGAGAAGTGGAGGGATGGATGATGTGTGGCTGCAGGGGTAATCCTACAGTCAGTAAGTCTTCGTTGTTTGTTGAAAGTAGTGCCTAAGAGTCATGAAGAACAATGGGGTCCACCACAGGGTGATGGAAAGAGCCCCAAATGAGGAATTAGAATATCTTGGTTCTGTTACTCTCTTTATGACTTTGAACAAGTCACTTAATCTTTCAGCCTTTGGTTACTCATTTATCAAAAACTTATCCTAGGTAAATTCTTGGATCTTATCTATTTTTGAATCTTATGATCCTGCCCTGCCCTGTAGTAGCCCCTGCTTAGAGTTGCTGGCTGTGGAAATAAGACTTCCATACTGATCACTATCTTCCTTCCTTTCAGTATGTCTCTCTATTCACAGTTTGGGGGTCAGAAGGAGAGTGCTCTTTTTCTACCTTTTGGGTCCTCCCAAAGGAAGAGACATATGCATTTAGAGTAAGAGGGCTAGGCAACTCACTATCAAGGTCAGATGCCTTCTTTCTCCTGGAAAGAATGGCATATAATACTTTAATATGCAGGAGGCTAGGAAAGTGGAGTAGGGAGGGCCACTGGTAGGAGCTGCAAGGATGAAATGAGTTTGGTTAGGCAAGGAATACCTGAGATTTCTCTTCTCTGCCCCTCCAAGAAAAAAAATATATATTTTCACTCCTTACTCAGTAATTAGAGATCCTTTGGGATTAATAAATTCCTTTTTTAAAATGCAAATGCCCCCAGAAGACATCTGCTTTAAGATGGGAATAAGCTTTAACTTATTAAAATGTGAGTTGTTTTTATCGGGCAAATATAAGGATCATTTTCTAGATTAGTGAGGGAATGAGAATTTTGATTGGATCAGAGCAGAGGGAGGAGGAATTTTGTAGGGAATATCTGCTTGGAGTAGGAGGCTTTGAGCAGCTAGAGACTAGCTTGGAGGATAGGGAGATGGGCAAGAGACAGGTGTAAAATGGATGTTTGACCTTGATAATTTTGCATAGTGCTCAGTTGATAACTGATAGAGCCCTGAGAATCACTTCCAGTTGAAGGCATTGGGACATTTGGGGGAACCTTCAGATCTCGGCTTTACTCAGTTTACCCTTGTCTCCTCAGCTGAGGCTAGTCCCGTCTACCTTCTCCAATTCAGATTTTAAGTTTCCTTTAATCCCCATCCCTCTTTCACTCAGATGATGAAAAGAGAAAAGGAGGAGAAGTCACTGTTTTCTTCATTATTTCCAATGTGGTCCAGCAGAATATTCACTGGAATTTCAGTTTTTGAAGCTCCATCTCTTGTCCCCTGTGAAGACTGAGGGCCTTGTCCACATCTCTTTTGTTAAGTTTTTTTTTTAAATAGGATCATAGACTTAAACTGGAAAGGACTTTATATACTATTAAGTCTCATCTTTTCATTTTAAAAATAAGGAAACTGAGGCACAGAGAGGTTAAGGGACTTGCCCAGGGTCACACAGTTCTGAAGTGTCTGAAGGGGAATTTGAACCCAATCCTTCCTGACTCCAAGTATAGCACCCTCTCGACTATACATACTATACTCCTCCCAGTAATGTCTGTCAAGTCTGTAGTAGTAGGAAGTAATTTCAGAGCACTGGATACAAAAAGGGGGAATTTGATACCACATCTTTATACCACTCAATCATGGAGTATTACAGAATGAACAGCTGATATAATTAAATCATTTTGAAATTAAAAATATACCAAATTATGAAGTCTTATCAAATATTTTATTTAGTCCTTTATACTCTGTAGATAGGCTGAAAAAAACTCAGCCTTTATGGCCCATTCAGACTTCACCTCTTT